GGCATTAGGGAAGTGGGTACACGTGTGTAGTTTGTTTTTTCCTTTTTTCTGATTTATTAAAGATATATCTAGTCATTTTCGAGCATCTAACTAAAATTTTCAAGCTTATGCAGTCCTTCCATTCTACACGCGTATTGGGAATTCTTTTGGTAGATACTAATTGAATTTTATTTGTGAAAAAAACGAAGATATAATAAAGTTCAACACACACCACGAGGGGAATCCGTACCAATATTTGTAGAGAAGAACTCATTACAATCAGGTCTACGAAATAAACGACTAAACATATAACTTTCACAACTCGAGAGACTAGGTACGAGAAATCCAGAGAAATTCCTTGATAATTGAAACATGACATTACGTATGCACTTGAATACGTTGACAAGGAGAAATTCCCTAATAATCATCTTCTATGGTATTCTGGCTATCTAACAGGCTGGGCCTAGCCCATTATTATTGAGGAAGGAGGATTTATTTTATTGGGCTAAAGACAGAGAGGTTAGCATATCTGATATAGTCCAAACAAAAGGATATCAGGCCCATTATTAGACCATTGTTTGTCGGCCCAGTAGATAATCCAGGCAACTGTCATATATAATAAATAAAGAAAACTGACTATGGACGAAAGAAGTGTTATTTCGTTATTATGTCGAAGTCTGTGTCGTATTAAAATATGTTCAATCCATATATGACTTATTTACGTGTACGAGTCATGTTAAGTTGAATTCTTGTCTTATATAATAGGAGTTTGTGTCGATTTATTTACTAAGCAAAACATGAGAATCCGCCAATTTACTTGAGGATAATTCGGGGTAATGTCATTTTTACTTGATAATCTCTGCATCATTTCCTTCTTCTGTGGTATAGTTCAGATTGTGTGAATTGGCCTGGTTTTACTTGAGAGATTAGATTAAACAAACCTGATCACTGCGAAAAAAAACCATCCAATTGCAACCCATACTAAAAAACTAATAACTATTTTAATACTGACCTACTGATAATACTATTTATCTTTGCATGCCTTACTTGAATTCTAGTATAAGATTCATTTACAAAGAAGAACTATTTATATATTCTAGGAAAGCATCGAAAGAAACCGATACATTTTCCATGAAAATGAAGTTTAGCAACATGATATAGCTATAGAAATGCATATTCTTCCCATTATTAGGATATATATATATATATATA